ACGGTGTACGCATGATGGTATAGTTCCTTTCAGTAGAGGGTTAGCGACGTTTGTGTCGCGTTACTTGTTTTAATGACAAATAAAAGAAAATTTTATCTTCTAAAAGTCTTGACAAAATGATTCTAGCATCAACGAGTTTTCCGTATATTTCTCTTTCGAATAGTAAAAACCACAAGTTTTTGACTGCTTCTATTTACGAGATATTCAAAAAATATCGAAGTACCTTCTTTTTTGGAATTAACACGGACTTTGTATAGAAAAAACCTACAAATCGTCTTCAAACGACATCTTTGCATCAACATTTCGATATGTAGTTTTTGACAGATTCTGTTGTATTACTTAAAGATAAATATGAATTTGGTTATTATTTATCTACTTTACTCATTCATCATTATTTGTCTTTTGTTCTGTGTGCGCACAGGTCTCCAAAAAAATTTCTTTCTCTTCTTGTCTTTGTATCGTTAATAAATGTTTACAACAGATAAGTTAGAAATAATTTTTACTACACTCGCCAGATCTCGTTCAAGGACTCAACCATTGATGACAGTTATTTCTTGGATAATTCTCGATAAGATAAAGCTAGAAGTCTGTAGCTTTTATTGATAAATAGTCAAGATCTGTAAGTAACAAACTGGCTTTGAGAGGATAAATTGTCAGAAAAGTATATGTATCGTATTATTTGAATATTTAAAATAAGTAAAATTGATTGACCAGAAACTTTTAGAATTCTACAAGTATCTACCTATCTCAGTTTCACAGTCAGAAACATTCTCCGCAAACTTTGCATATCAACTACCGAACCTCCACATATTGAAAGTGAAATTTTTCATAGACTTATACAGACAAGGCCTTGCATTCGATATAAGTGAATTATATCTTTTAAACGTTAGTTTGATTTTCAGATCCGAAAAGTGTCAAGGTAACTGTATTTTTAGTTAGAAACATCCAATTTCTTCTTTTTGACTTCTATTCGAGCATAACTGATCGATATGGCTTCCTTTTACATTTTACAAGTTTTATTTTATTTACATTGCAAAATAAAAAAAGATTTCGATCCTAAATTTGCCATACTGTTAAAAGGTATTTGGGGCAGTGATTTAAAAGCAGAATCTAAAATAATCCCAATGTTAGGGCGATAGTTAGTCATTCAGAAATAACTTTTCTCTCAAAGAGAAACATTTTAGCATTTATTACCTAAAAATATCTTATGTTCTTTCAGTAGATCTTTTAAATAGAATGTCCTTCTCTATCAGATATTCAGTTTTGAAAAATAAAGTAACTTTTGTTTTTTGAACTGTTGCTCATAAATAGATGATCGCAAATTAACAATTCTTCGAACTTCTAACAATAGTAAATTTTCTAAGTAAAGATTAGTTAGTAATAGCATTCTCTAAAAAGCGTTTTTGTAAACATAGTTAGGTTTAAAATGAATAGCCTGTCTTCTTTCATTAATCAACATGTGTTGACTCTATATCAAAGGAGAAAGATTGATAAGATAATTTTCCGATATACACTATTGTGAAAGTCATATATATATATATAGAATCAGAGTTGAATTCTGAATACAATAGTCGTATTATTTTTTGAAAATGTGAATTCTAATTTTTCGTAAATTTTTTTTTATTTGAATTTAAAAAGAGTATCTAAAAATGAACCAAATGGTGCGTTGCTGAAAATTTTCTGTAATAATTTTTGAATCAGTTAGAAGCTAGAAGAAACTGAGAAATATAATAAAATTCTTTGAGAATTTCTCAAAAAAAGACGAAATTCTGGAAAGATGATTGAATCATTATTTGATAGAGAATCAAAAAAGTGCATACTGCTATGATATTTTCCATTTGAAGTTTATATTCGTTATCAAATGGAAGGACTATGGCTTGAAGACAATTATCCGGTTTCTTACCTTTTTTTTTTTACTTGAAAAATATTAGTTTAATGCAGTTTTCGATCATATTTCTAAAGCCGATTCATTTTTGAGCAGATCTAAATGGTTTTGAATGTTAACGAACTGTATCATTCGACCCAACATTGACATTTCTTCAGAGATAGTTCATTTGTATCATCTCACAAAGCCAAACAAATTTTCTTACTAAAAATCATTGTTTTTTTTTAAATTTTCCATTCGATATTCGTAATCAGCATGTAATTCTAACTCGATTATTGTATATTTCTCTAGAATTTAAGAATATCGATTTTTTGATGCTCATAAGGGGACAGTCACATGATCTAAAACTTTTTCGAAAAATGAATATGGCCACTTTGTTCAGAATTCGATGGTAATTTGGAATAGCTACATGAATTTCAGACATATTGCGTAATAAAGAGCTTTTGTACTCAACTATCTGCCTTCTTTAAGATGTCACAAACAATAACATTACCGAAAGTAATCTTCGGAACTAGTGCACTAGGAAATTTATACGCGGCATATGAAGATAAAATTAAACTTGAAGCTGTTAGAGCATGTATACAATATACTTCATCACAAAAACCGGTCGTATTTGACTGTGCTGGAAAATATGGAGCTGGATTAGCTTTAGAAACATTGGGCAATTGTCTGAAAATACTAAATGTAAAGCCTGAGGATATTCTGATCAGTAATAAACTTGGCTGGTATAGAACTACCGAACTTGAAAATGGCAAAGAACCTACATTTGAAACTGGAATATGGCATAATTTGAAATATGATGCAGTACAGAAGATAAGCTATAAAGGTATACTTGAATGCTATGAACAAGGCAATCAATTGTTAAATGGTTACAAGGCTAAACTTGTATCAGTACATGATCCAGAAGAATACGTTGCCAGTGGCCAAAATCAATTAGAAAAAGACAAACGTTACAATGATATAATTGAAGCTTATCGTGCACTTCATGAATTGAAAAATCGAGATGAAGTTAAAGCTATTGGTGTAGGATCAAAAGATTGGAGAATGATTGAACGTATTGTAAACGATGTTAACTTAGATTGGGTAATGATTGCTGCGAGGATGACTGTACACAGTCATGATCAAGGAATAGTTACTTTTATGGAAAAATTACAACAGCGTGGAATAATCATTATCAATGCAGCAGTATTCAATAGTGGTTTTTTAATTGGCGAAGATTATTATAATTATAAATTAATGGATCCTATGTATGATCAACAATTATTCAAATGGCGTACAGATTTTTTCGAATTATGCGATAAATATAAAATAAAACCAGCTCAAGTATGCATCGCGTTTGGACTAAGTGCACCAGGAGTTAAAAGTATTGCCTTAAATACAATAGATGTCGATCGTATTAAAGAGAATTTAGATATAGGAGCGGCAGGAAATGCGGCTATACCATCAAATTTTTGGAAAGAGATGAAAGCACATGGATTGATTGATAAAAACTATACTTATGTGTAAACGATGTTGTTACATAGTATTCCTCAATCATCATTCCACATATGTAATCTTCTATGCGTGTCATCTTTTCGTAATCTACGTTTCATATTTTATGACAGTTGTTTGATATTTTTACAATTACCTAAGAAAAGAAATGTATTGATGTTCTCTCTGTGATCGTTCCTCTCCATATTTCTATATCAATACAAATGATTGTAAAAATTGTCAAACTTCTTCTTGCAACATGCAATTTGCCGCCGTTGATTGAAGGGTGTGGGTGTGGGGTATGCGTGTGAGGGTGTGTATGAAGAGAAGATCCACACCCTCAAATATTAATTTTCGTAAGTGTTTTCCAGATTGTAAAAATGTTTTATGTGAAAATTAATTAAGCTTTTGTTGTTTTTTTTCGTGAATAACTTTTTCAGCAAGCAAAAGTTATTCACGGTCAAAATGATTTTGTTTATTTGAACATTAACGTTCAATTTATTGGTTAAATAAATAGAAAGAATTGAAATAAAAGAAACTGATTGAATGATACATGAGTCAATAAGATAAGCATTCATGGCGACTACGTTCTATGATCATATGTCTCGATCTGGAATCCCCAACGTTGAGTTAGTTGCAGAGATGTGCGCTTCACGAGTTCCGATCTGTGAGATTCACAGAGTCACGTCGCGACGAGAGAGCAGATAAATATTCCTCGCTGGTTTTTTTATGCCGGCGTAAGGCGAGTGTCGATGGTTGTACAAGCTGTACAAAGAGAGCTGGGCTGTAAGTATAAGATGCAGATCATAGGTGGGCAGGAATAATGGCCCATCGGTTTCGAAGGGTAGACAATCTTTATGGGGTTTAATAAAGGAACGTCAACAATTTTCGATAGACGTTGTTATTCCACATACGTCATAAAAAAAAACATGTTCATTGCTTATTACTTTCAACCTATCAACAATAGGTTTGCTCGATCTTCAGTTTTTCTCTTTTCTTATAACTTCTTATATTGAACTTCAATTAATGACTTGATAAAAAACGAAAAACCAATAATTCATTCGATTCCTAGAATAAATGTTGAGAACTCGTTGCGATATACTGGCGATTGATATTTTTTTATCTTGAGAATGATCGAGAACGAAAACAGTTCTAAATTACAATAATAATTTTTTTAAATTATGATCTCGGAGGAAATTCGTCTAGATTCTTGATTACAATCACAAAAATATTTTCTAATCGTTTGGATGACGATCACGCCTGATCGTGACGTTATCAAGATTTATCAGTTGCTGGATCCTTCAACAATATTTTATCATGAAATATTACTGGTCCATCTTTAAATAATTGCGTTTTTTCTGAAAATTTTTCATCAGCTGTTATCAAATTTAATACTCCAAATGTCGAGGTATTTTGATAGAACAATCGGAAAAATATACGCTGATGAAAAATCAAAAAGTGAATCTTACTAAATTCTCCTCATGCTTGAATTGTTCGATTTTTCCTCCAATGAAATAAGAAGCGTTGAAATTAAATTAAGTGAGGAGTAAAATTTTCATGGGTTTATGGAGACGAGCGGATCGGAAGAAATCATGAACAGAGCGAGGTGAGTGTGGGGAGTATTCAAAAAAATAATCTATGAGGATTAGGGAGGCGAGTGAGCAAGATTCGCGGAACGAAGTTCGTGAGTCATGAAAATTCGACATCGTGCATATTGCTGATTTGTTAGTGGAATACTTGCACTTTGTAATCGTTGACCATTACAATTAAATTTTATCCGTATATAGTCATAGATATCAGTCCATGTTTCTGAACAAGCTTCGCGAAATTTTGAACCAGCTATATAATAAAATAAAAAGTTAGTCTAAATAGAAAAAGATAAAAAATATCATAGAATTGACGAACTTTTCTTAAGCCAGCATATAATCTTTGTCTTTTTGTAGAGCAATTTATGGTTCATCGAATAGCATATGAGTAATAATGTTCTATGAAAAATTTCATGTGTTGATGATCGAGATACTCGTTACAATTCTATATAAATACATATAATATTCATACATATTGTGATTTCAAGTATATTCGAAGATAAACTTGGGCAAACATTATTTTTTAAACTTAATTCTATGCAGCTACAGATGCTCTGTAATATATTACATATCGATAAGTTTCATCCTTGCTTTCTGAATAATTAAAGTTTGTGCTTTTGCTTACGTTTAGGTCACGTTTTGATTATACAATATTCTACTGTGTTTGACTCAGTGTTGCAAAATAAATGAGTATTAACGGGAAACTTTCTCGAATATTGCATAGTATTGATCCATACATATTTCATAGTTGTTATATTTCGATACAATTGAGATTTATTTCCAACGTGCAAAACTGTTCTTCAGAATATTATATCTTCTTGTATACAGAGCAGTTAATGTACATCAATAAAATTGTAACAATACACAACAATGCTATAAAAAACTATTTATGCTCTAATATTCAAAGCATTACAGACGAACTGGTACAAATAACACTTTTGACCTATTCAAGAAAATGAGAAAGAACTCACACATATGTGATATTTATTTGAAAAACGGAATTTTCCATAGTCTGTCTTCCCCTTCCCTTCACTTCAAAGAACACAGAAGTGGAAAACATTTTTCCATGTACATGAGAATTATATCAATTTATTGGCATCCTCTGCTGATAACTTAGGCAAAAAAAAAATTTAATGAGGCTACTGAGAACATAGTAAAAATGTTATCAATATTCCGTCCTCTACAAATTGAAAAGTACGATATTTTGAGGTAGTCAGTTGACATTGAGTTCCAGTAGGTCTGAAGTATATTATCAATGTGGTATAACCCCTATGTAAAAAGTCTTGGTACAAAATTTTTGTACAATTTTTGACCACCTATAGATTGCATAACAGACTCAACAGTAGTCAGCTAGAAAAAGAATTTCTTGCCCTTTCTAAATATATTCTGACTTGAACTTAATTCACTAAGAGCAGATATTTGATGGGGACCAGAAAATGACGTTTGTACAGAATATTCCATGCAGTCCATTTTTGTATTTGAGTTAAAATAAAAGCGCTTCAGTTCAAATTAAACGAAAGAGATTTTATACACCAGTTTGCAGAATGCAGCTTGCTCTACAAAATGCTCAATTCCATGCATGTCAAATAGCGCAATACAGAATGAACTATTATTTTGAAAAATGTTTTTTCATAGAAAGAGTAGCATTCCGAAAAATATTTGTAACTTTTGATCCTTTTGAGTTCTTGTTTATTGTATCGCAATTGCAATTCTCTACAACAATAGGAGGTAAAAATTATCCCACAATACTTTTAGCAAAATTACGGACGAGAGGGAAAAAAAGTGTTTTAGATGTTGCAAACGACATTTTTATTTATTCAGATATTTACTTACAGCTGACTAGATAAGAATCAGAGCAAAATTCTAAAGATATATTTAGAAAGACCGTCGAATGCTGTTTCTAACCGACTACTTCATATTCTTTTTGATTATATTTAAATCACCGAAAAAGCAGCAAATATATTTGTCATTACCCTTGAAACTAGTGTTTTCTACAAATATCGTTTTTGATCCCTATCAAATATTTGCTGCTAATGAATCAAGTTCAAAGCAGATTATATTTAGAAAGGGCAAGAAATTCTCTTTCTAGCCGACTACTTTTGAGTCTATTCTGCAATCTATGAGTGGTTGAAAATCGTACAAAAATTTTGTACCAAGACTTTTACACAGGGGCTATTTCTGTGCATCTCAAATATCTTCAGTGTTTTCTACGTCAGAAAGCTGGATTTGGTATTAACATGAAGGCAGAATTAAGTTTCACGACTTAATAGAACCAAATTTTTGAGTTTTTTTATAATTGTATATGAGAAATAATTTTTTGTGAATCGATAGCATTTGGGATTTTCATACTTCATCAGAGAAATTTTTCTGAAAACATTAACTAACGGAAAATTGAAAAAACTAGAACTTGTTAAGTTGTAGCACTGCATCATGGTTAAATTTTTAAATCAACCCGAATACTCCAGTATTTGAAATGCCGAAGATATTTGGGATGCGCGGTGACTCAAATTTTGACCCATAACCGGATGCTCATTCTTCGTAGGCTTCATATATAGAACTAAATTTTTGCTGTGAGGTGCCTCCTTCGAAACACATATGTGTTGAAAACTTCACCAAGATTGGATGCTCGGAAGAAAAACTGTTTTAGGAAGGAAGTCTTCTTAATACTCTCTAATTCTATGATAGAAATCGATGATACTGAAACATAAAATTGTAAGGAAAAGATCTCATCCTAAGAGAAGAAAACATTATTAAGTATGAAGAAAGCAACGGTGGAACCTAATACTTTTAGAAAATTTTGGTATATGTTACGAAATCACAATATCCATAGAGTATAACGTGTATTTCTCAAAAAACACAACAAGCGTACCAAACCTCAGCACATAAAAATTTTCATAAAATATGATTTCTTACATAATACTCAAATGTATGACAAATTGCTGTACAAAATTACAACTTAGATATCCTAGTTCGAGATATATAGATGAGTTCGACAAAGTCTTTTATCATGCGATGATTCATATTTGTTTACTTTCTTTCTCTATAAGCAAACTTACCGCTGAACTCATATGACGCATAGTATCAGTTACATAACTTATGAGAATCCGTATTTTAATTTCTTCTACATCTAGATTGTGCAATTTTCTTGTCCAAAGCATATAGTGAATAGAAGCTGGTATTGTAAATAAATAAAAACTTAATGAATCTGTAAGAAGCATAATAGTTAATACTTTTTGTTGTTTACTGAATGTATTTGTACTTATTGAATTTATAGTATTATCAGGATTCATTAACATTTGTGTTCGTTGTCGTTTAGCGATAAATAATTCATAAATAGTAAAGAAATTAACTAATAATATAAGACCAGGTATAACATAAAATATGGCTGGTTCTATAAATCGAAAGAATGCTCTAAATTGCTCACGAACATCACAATCTTGTTCATTTTGATTTATTGTATACACTAATGGAAATTTTAAAGAGAGAGCGAATGTAATAAATATAAGTATATACATTGAATAACGTGCGTGCTCTATTGTACAAAAACGTTTCGCTAAAAATGGTGAATGAACTGCAATATAACGCTCTATTGTCATAATAACCATAATCCAAACACTAGTAAGTGTAAAGAAATCGCTTAAATAAAGAGAAATGCAATTTAAAATTAATGATCTTTTGAAAAGTATTATTGAGTCCGTCAACATCAAAATGAGAGTTAATGAATCAAATATAGCTAAATACGTTATAAATACCCTTGATGTCGTATTACGTAATGAACGATGATTAATAACAATAAGTGCAAGACCATTTCCTAATATTCCAAGTGAACATATGCAACATTTAATAATAAATATCCAATAAGATGCTTGGCGACGAAAGTCATCTATTTTGGCATGCATTGACGTATCATTTAAATTATTGATTAATGAATTATGATTATCATATGTATTATTCAGTATATTCACAAACCGAGTATGATTCTCTTGCATTATATCTAGAATTCTATAAAAATTTAAACACTAATATAAAGTGATAGAAGAAAAGTTATCGACAAGGTATTTTTGATTTTCTTCTACAATGTTAAGCAACTAACGGTATTCAAAATAGTAATTTTAATAGCTAATGAAGTCCTCTCTTACCAAGATATCGAAAAAAACCGACATAATAGTCTTCGGGTCCTACAAAGTTTTACCGCAGTCATAGTTTTTAAAACAATGTCCATTCAAAGAACAAAGAATCGGTGGCGGCTCTGTTTTTTTGATCTCCTCTTGAAAACTTACAAATATCACAAAAATCGAAAAAAACATTTCTCGGTAGGTTTCTTTTTTTTAAGAGTTTGTATAAAGTTTTACACGTTCTAAGAGAAGATTGGAGGAAATATGGTTGCCTCTTATTATGTGCTCTTTAAAATAGTACTATTAAAACAGTTCTTGCAAAGTTTTCTGACACCTGAAAACTATCTTGTTAAACATTTTTAGAAACTTAGTCATCTTAGTACATTGATAGAATCTCGGTAAAAGAAAACTTCATTAGATAATAAAATCTCTATCTAAAATTGAGTTGATTATTGAAAATTTTTGAAAAAAGCTAAACTTCTTCTAGAATCTTAAGGAAAAGGAAGTTCTTAGAAACTTTATTGGAGCACAAAAGTATGATAAAATTTTTCTCCTATTGAAAAAAGAAACTCTTATGAATGAATGTCTTATAATGAAAAGATAACGTACTATGGAGTGTTATAAAGAAGCGAAATGAGTATCAGTCATCTAATGCAGTATAATTTCCCGCAACTAAAGTAGATAGTAATGTCAATAGAAGGCCGTATGAACCGATATTTCATGCTCATCTTATAGAATAAACATTCACTGGAAAATTTCTTTCTTATTTCCTCTCATCGAAGGTATTGGTTTGGAACTACAGAATACTTTGACTTTCTTTATCGGTGTGATTATGTGTACAAATTAAGTGAATATTTTGTTAAGAATTTTAAGCAAAATTTCACAGAATACTAGTCGCTTCAAGGATAAAATATTCATAAAGAGTCACTAGGCACTCATAATACTTATGTTTTGTATTATGCAAATCTAATAGATAAAACTTTTCTTTGAAATATACCAAGTAATATATTGAGTAATTGTTACTATTGTTAAGTTATCAGTTATCACATCATACTAGACAGAAGAATAGCATCGTTCATGATTGATTTTTGCACTGAAACAAAAGTAGTTCTTGTATGATACGACATAGAGTCATATACTATTAGTAATAAGTGTTATTTGAATTTGGTATACCTCAAAGAAAATTTTCAGTTTTTAGATTTACACTATACGAAACAGAGAACTCATGAGTACCTAATGGCTTGTTATGGATATTATACTAGTAAACTGATTGGCATTCTGTGAAATTTTGTTTAAACTTCTTACCAAACGACTCACCTAATTTTTCTATATACAATCTTTAATAGTTGTGAGATTAAGAAAGATCATTGTGCCAAGAAGCACACTATCTTCACTTGACAAAATTAATCAAAACTGCGCCATGCTATGGACATTCTCTTGTGTGACCATTATTGAATTGTGTTACATTATTGATTCAAATGGTAATCCTAGTCTATTATGTAACTAATTGGAAGTCGATGTGTGCTATGTCAAGCCCACCCACCCCTCCCCCCGCACTCATCCTAATTTCTATTTTAGCTTCTGATCATCCAATCTTGCTGAAATTTTTAGAGGAGGTGTATCTAATGTTAGGTAACTTACAGTAAAAATTTCAGATGAAAATATTCAGTCCATCAAGTTTGACCTAAAGATTTCCGGTCAAAATGGAGGTGTCCGCGTGTCAGAGATCCCACCGCTATTTCAAATACTAGAAAGTTCGGGTTGGTTTTAAAATATACCAAAGACCTAGCACTACAACTTAACAGTGCCCGAATTTCTTTTAAAATTTTTCATTGTTTTTTATTGGAGTTTATCTTATAATGCATGGTAATGATAGGTCATGTATTGTGATACATTTAAATGTCATGAGACAGTAAGCATAAAATCTAAAATTCCGGATGGATGTGCAAAGAGAAGAAGATCATACCCACACCCACACCCTCATTGAAACCTATTATTACGACTAACAATATATAACATTCTTTCATGAAAAAACGTGATCACATACTGCTGAGAATACATTTGACAACTGATTTTAATCAACAAATATGTCAAAGGGATCATAGAATTCAAATGAGAAGGAAAGAGTACAATTAATAGTATGAGAAAACGGAGTCACTTTCCCGAGTAAAATTCAACCTTTTCAATACTTGAACTCTCTTATAGAGTAACCAATTAAGTTTATTTTGAACAGAGACCAATTTGTTTTCTGCTGACGATGGCTTCTTTCCTTTCATTTTTCCGCCCGAACAATCTTAATAGCGTATACTAGTAAAATGATTCAGAAAGAATAATGAAAGAAAATAGACTGCTCTTAAAAATGAACAATCTGGACTGTATTCAACAAGCGAATCCGGAATAAGACTTATTCGAATATCTGGAAAATCTATTACTGAAATGTATCTTTAAATAGATATGCATTAGCATAAAATAATTCGTCCTTCAAATACTAATCAATATATTGAGAAATTATTTCTCAAAATATGACCTCGGTACAAATCTTAGCTTCAACGAATGAGGATACTGCTACCAGTAACCATCTACATTCTTTATAAAATTTCATAACGAAACATTTTTATATTGGAAGTTATCACAAGAACAATAAGACATTCAGAGAGAATTCAAGGAACTCTATCGAACACATTCGAATTTTGCATCAGTTTTTTCTAGAAACCTTGTATTACGGAATTTCATTAATATCTAAAAATTAGGGATTAGCATCAGATACTAAACAAAAATTCAACTTCGATTTGTCTAAAGCATTCCTCATTGGATTTTATTGAAAATTTCATCATGTGATGGATGATCTGATATTGCTGACAAATATCTTACTCTATTTCATTTTTAGGGTTTTTAATACTAGTTCAAAGTTTAATTTTCATTTTTTTACTGATACAGTTATCTATTTGTTAAGAAATGACTTAACATTTGAAAGCTTGTGATTGTATACAAACATGTAAAGATTTTTCATTTTCTTTGATGCCCTAGTCTTTTGTACTAACTATCAATCGCAGTGTGATTGATGACTTGGAGACATCAAAGTATAAAAACGATTTGTTAATCATAATAAAGAATTAAGTTAACAATGTATTGGCTTTTGCATAGTAAAGTGTTAAAATTAAGGACTTAACTCTTTTCTATAATTTAGGGATGTGAATTTATTGGTACTGTTATTTTTTATTAGTAACAAAAAATCACAAACAACCTTTATTTTCTGAAGAAACTTCAATTCGAATTGCTTTTTATCGCGACTATACTGTTTCTGTTGGCCAACATTCATGGAATAAATTTGCTACTCCTATGACATCAATTGATTTGGAAGTTTAATAATTTATATAGATCATGTACCGAATGGAATAAAAATTAGAGAACAAATAGTTTTTTCGATTTTTTCCTTTGAGTATTGACAGTTAGATCTCGTATTTATACTATACATACTAGGTGATATTAGTCAGAGATGTGTTGTATAATCAGTCTCTAGACATTGCAATTTGTTCTAGAACATATACATGTATTAATTGGTCTTATGGGAATATTTAGGAAATTCGATAGTTCCTCTATTACACACGATTTGCATTCTTATTTATTCATTCCAATCTCAGATTGAAAATGGATTTAATTAAATTTTTTGTATTCTCTTAGTCTAAAGAAGTTCAAACTCTTATAGAATTGAATTTGCATCTGAGATTAGGATGAAGAACCAAGAATATGAAAGTCATATCTAACAGAGAAACCATCGAATTTTTTAAATAGTCCCATATCAGAGCTGCCAACAGATTACTTTTTTTTTCAGCCTGGCCTGGCCTGCCTGCAGGCTAAACCAGGCCAAATAGTGTTTTTGATTTTTCAGATTAGTAAATTGACACTTTAGAAATAATTTAAGACATCAGTTTCAGTTACGTATTTTATCCTTTATTCTCAAAATAATATGATTGCATATCTTTGCAAAACAAAAGCGCATAATGAAAATCAACTCATTTTTATTAGTTTTTTTCGAACAATAAATGCTAGAAATTGGAAAATATAACGATGAAGTTTATACTGTTTCATCTACACAACAAAAATATACATAATAGCACAAAAAGCAATCTATAATAGAATATACATACACTTTATGAAAATTAATTTAGCAAATCAGGCATGAGACGAATCACAAAAACGTAATATTTTTAAAGCCCCTCCTCAGAAACAAACATTTTATTTTTCGCTGTAGTTCAACCAAAATTTCAGAGAATGTTAGTCTTCACTAGAATAGATTATAGTTAAAATATCTGCTCAAATCTATGAGTTATTCACGAATTATTATCTATTTATTGGTCAAAAGTACCCTGAATATGGGCAAGGTTTTTACAATCAGGACATGCGCTCACATAGCGGGGCTATTTTTAAGTTGTAGAGTACCCTTGGCGCTAGATCCTCATAGAGCCCGATTTTCGAAATTCTCTTTGTTTGTTTTATAAAAACTCTTCTCCGAAAATTTCTCGAATTCATGACCAAAAAAAACGCTGATATAATTGAGACATTTGAGCTTTTTATTTCACCAATAGAGAAATTCGAAAATCCGGCTCTGTGAGCATCTAGCCCTAACTGCCTTCTATGTAATAAAAAAAAACTTTTCATTTCCATGTCGAGTCATTATGGAGAAAAACCTGCTCGCGTAAACTGCATGCTCGAAAAAAAACTGATTTTAAGAAAAACGGAAAATAAGTATTAAAAATCGATTTTTCCGAAAATCATCTGATTTGTATATCAATGTTCAAGACAGGCTATAAATTTATGATCTTAATATTAAGTGTTCATAGTCTCTTAGTGGTTAGTATTTTCAAACAAAGAAC